CAACATTCTCACCTAGCTCTATGCTATCTATTTCCTCAGAACTTCTATAGGCTATAATAAATTATCTCATCTTCTTGCACCTTTGTTATGTTAAAGAAAGAAGAGTACAGACAGGGAGCAAAAGCCTGAATTCAATTATAGAGGCATAAGGGTAAGAAAAGCCCCCACTGTGGCTTCCTTGAGAATACCGCTTCCTCTCCTCTTGAGGCAAACTGTTCATCCACAAATGACAGAGATACCGGGATTCTCATGTCTTCTGTTAGGCTATTTCCCTCTTTCTTTAGTCTTGCATTTAACCTTATCATGTGAATAGTTTACTACTCAAAGTCATGACAGGCACTTAAACAATTGGGCCAATTTGCAATTATGTCATGAAAATTCCACAATGAAATGATACCAACAGACTATTTAAAGAACTACAGGCGATTGTTTTTCTAAATCCTTTTGGAGAAGCCAACATTTCCAGGGGTATGGGGAGATGAATGGAGCTGTTATTCTCCAGGGTTCAGTGGTGAGGGTCATCTCTGAGGAGAAGGGTGACTGAGCATTGCTCACAGCAGAGCTACGGTGGCAATTAGGCATGCAGAGGCCAAATTGCATGGTTCAACATCCATCTCTGTAAACTCATCTGACGCTACGTCTTTCTTCTGTGCTTGTTTTTGAGACAGCGTCTTGTACAGCCCAGGGTGGCCTCAAACTCAGTATGTAACTGAGGATAACCTTTGACTGATCCTTCCTGTCTCTGCCTCCTAAGTACTGGGGCAACAAGATGTATGCATGTCCAGTGAACACTTTACCAATGAGCTAAAGTCCCAGATCCTTGACTCCTTGTCTTTTAGTTTAGAAAAACAACATAAAGACCCACATGATGGGAGAACCCTGAACTGAAGCCATTGCTGGGAGGGACGTCTGGCTTGGAGTCCTAGCCATTGCCATATGCCAGATATCCTGTGCACCCCAGTTGACAACTCTGTGCTTTGTTTCATCACCTGAAGGGTGGGAATTAGATTCTTTCTAGCTCCAGGGCCTCATGAAGGACTCAGGCAATTCCTGCAAGTTAAGCTCTTGTCGTGGATTAGGCAGAACAACCTCCACACATGGTACTGGCTGTCATCCTTGGGGACATCGTGTGGGTAAGAAAACAGAAGTCGGTTAGCCACAGAGCCAGGAACAAAAGCTAGATCCTCTTTCCCTGGATGATGACCCAGACTTGGAGGGTCAAGCTGCTTAAGACACCATGTTTACTAGACCAGCACAAACACTACGATTTAGAATGGTACAAACCAAAGTCCAAGCAGCTCAAACATTTATAAAACTGCATTTTAATTTACGTTCATGCACACAATTTAGATTAATTATTAAAAAGCCCAAGGGTCAATTTTTGGAACCAAATGCAACTTATTTCTTCTTGTGGTGCTGGCTTTGAGAGCAGTAGGTGTGTGTTTTAACATGGTGCCACACTCCCAGTCCCAAATGTTTCATTTTGGGACAAAACACTATACAGGGAAGGATAATTATCTGTGTTGTGTTATTTATGAAAGAAAAGCCTTTTGTTTCACGTTTCAGAATACAAACAAAAAAGGCTGAAGTCTAGCACATACCATCCAGTGTGATTATTACCAAAATGTCCTTATGTAAAATAAGCACAAAGGGAAAGAGACAAAGATGTCGATGATGGCTGCATTAGGGTTCCTTTCTCCCCCAGGTTTCAATGTGTTCAGTATTATATTAGAACATGGATCGTTTAAAAAGTGACTTTTCAGAGCAAAGTGTACTGAAGACTGAAAAACAGTGTTCACAGAAGAAACACCTAGAAAACAGCTAACAATAGACTCTCAACTAAAAGCTGCTCTCTGTTTCAAATCTGCTTCAGGCTTCTTTTCTCAGATTTGTTCAAACTTTATTCCTTCAGAGATTTAGGTGACTGTAATAACATCTTTCTCTGCCTCTAAAAATAGGCCACGGGTGTGTAAATTTATGAGCTGAAATGCAAAACTGGCACAGAGTGTCTAAATTAGAGCATTAAATCATTTAGTCTACTCTGGCACAGAGATACATTTGAAGCACTCGTGTCTGCATGCTTTGTATAAAGGCACAGTTTGAATCCAAAATCTTTGTTCTTTTCCCAGGTGGAAAAATGAGAAGCTGTGACCATTGTTCTCAAACGTGCCAAATCACTTCTCAAGAGATTAACTCTGGGTAAAACCCTTCTCAACTCTAGCCTCCGGTTCCCTATTTGGATGAAGGGAACAGACTAGAACAAGAGGGCTTTTGACCTTTCCATGCTAACCCCCAACTCAACCTAGAGATTCAGCATGTTTCCACTGGCAGCAGTGGGGTCTGCAGTGACTCTGTTCCCTGCCCTAGGGACTGTCTCCCTGCCTGTACTCTCTGATACACCACTGCAAACCTGGGTTTCTGAGCTCCAAGATACACTAGGTGAAGGAAACAGTACAACCCAGTGGCCCAAAATTATCCAATTACTTTAAAATATATTCAAGGCACACGCCTTTAATCCTAGCACTTGGGAGCAGAGAGGCAGGAGAATCTCTGTGAGGTGAAGGCTAGCTTGGTCTACAGAGTTCCAGGATGGGCTCCAAAGCTACACAGAGAGATCCTGTCTGGGGAAAAAAAAAAAACCCAACACACACACACACACACACACACACACACACACACACACACACACACACGGTTGGAGAGATGGTTTAGCAGTTAAGAACATTTACTACTGTTCCAGAGGACAGCTCACAACCTTGCTCTAGCATCAGGGGACCGGATGCCCTCTTCTGGCCACTGTGAGCACCCATACTCACTTGGCATGTGCTCTTACACACACACACACACACACACACACACACACACACACACACACACTTGTTTTTTGTTTATTGTTGTTTGTTTAGCATTGAACTCCATTTGTTGGAATAAACAAGATTAAAATAAAAGCCTGAAAACTGAGGATATTGGGGGAGGGAGATCTATAGCTGATCATTAGGCAGCTTATTAGCCTGGTAAAATAAAAGCCTGAAAACTGAGGATATTGGGGAGGGAGCTTTATAGCTGATCATTAGGCAGCTTATTAGCCTGGACTTGGTTCTCAGCAAGATGACAGGTAAGGAAGGAGGAAGATGGTAGAGTTAGTTGGTTTTGAAGGGTTGGCTGGCAAGAATGATATGATTTGGGGCAGTCAATGTCTGATGCCAGGAAGGGAAGCCAAAGTCTGATACTGAAACATAGTATCACGTAACCTCTAATGTCTTCTCTAAAAAGTCAATTTGACATCAGTCGTACTTAAGTGTTACCTCTGTTAGGTGACCCTGATGCCCCACTACACTACTGAAACAAGTGTTACCTTTGTAATAGACAACTCTGTTCAACAATATCTACTAAAAACAAGAAAGAAAAAAAAAAAGATGTGGGCATTTGCCATGCTAACATAAGTCAAATGCATGGGCTTAGCATGACTGACAAGACTTGTCAAGCCTTCATTTACAAAAAAGTCCCGTTTTTCTGAACGGATATTCTACAGATAAACCTTATGGTATCAGTAGCTACCGTGTGGGAAGCCACATGGAAATGCCTCACCACCGTGAAAGGAAAGGAAGTATGGAAACTTCCTTGGAAAAATGTATATTGTCTGATCCAAATGGGAACCAACATTACAGTAAATGTTCAGAAGTCCACAGTGATGATAACTACAGCTTCAAAATTAGGCCTGTTTTTGTATATGGTTAAAAATAAAACACAACCGTGCTATTTTCAAAAGAGAAAACGTCATTACTTAATAAATGTTGATTTTACATTTTATAGTGAGTTGACCTTCAGTGGTACAAAGAATAGCAACGATCTACACAGCTAATGTCTGTATCATAAAAGAACCCCACATTTGGCTGGGTGTAAAAGTTGCTGTCCTCTGTACCAAAAGATGTCTGTCAGCTACGGCTCTAAATTCAAAACATTTGTAGTGAAGTGTAGCTGGAAAGGTTGATAAAATGTTCAGGGAACCATCCATTTCTTGTGAAATCAATTACCAAACACATTATCCACTGTTGGCGCAGTTGCTTGCAAAGCGCTCCCATACACCATGTTCCCAACAAGGACTGCTGTAAACGTTAAGACTTGAATAAGGGGGACAGGCCAACAGGAGAAATGGGTGCGGTAAAGAATACAAAGAGAGGGTTGGGATGGATCGGGTGTGTTGATTGACCGTTCCTATTTCTTCCTCGTTCTCTCCTTATGCGTCAAAGCATCCAAACAATTTAATTTGTGGTCCTCGCTCTTGTGTCTTCTACTCTATATGTAAGTTTATCATGAGGGTGTTTTTAAAAAACAAAACAAAAACAAAAGCCAACAACCTGCTTGGCTTGTCTCTCTATGAATCACAGCCAGGAGGTCATCTTGCTGTGTATCAGCAACTATGTTCTCAGTACAGCTATGTGACCTGAAGTGCCAGCTGCTTGCAGAGCAACCAAAATAGCAAGGGCAAGAGCTTTCTGCTGGCTCCTCGGCCCCAATCCCGCTTTCCTAGCCCTTTCCTCCCACTGAGCACCAGCCAACTGCAGAGCCTAGAAAGACCCAGCCTCACGCTCTGACAATAAAGGCCGTAGGCCCACCACACCTTTCCAGTCCTCCCGGGGAGCCCCGAGTGCGAGCTCAAGAAGGAGGGCTCGGGGACACTGTGAGGACGCACGGCGTGATAGGGGACGCAGGCCGCCCATTGCAGGGCAAGCACCGGCCCAGCGGGGATGCACACACCCCGGGACAATCTGGCCACCCACCGGCATCCGCACCCAGGGCTCTAGGCTCAGCCGGGAGAGGGCACGGAGGGATCCGGGCGCCCCAGGTTCCAGGCACCCGGACCTTACGTGTGCACGCCTCACCTGTGCCGGGCCGATCCGCACCCCGGCCTCCCCAGTGCCCACGCCCCTCCCACGTCTTGTGCCCGAGACTACTAGGGACCCCTCGGGGACGCCCCGGTCGGCCTGGCCGCCACTCACTTTCTGGATCCGCTTCAGCGCCATGGGGCAGGCGGCGGGGGCTGCGGCGGGTCCGCGTGTCCCGGGCTGCCGCCTCGCGGGGCTGCTCCGTGTGCGCCCAGGCGCGGTGCGCGAGTGTGCGGGCGGCGACGCCGGGCTCTTTTGTTTCCGCCTTCGCTGCTGGGAAGGAGCCTGCGCCCTCCCCGCCGCGCCCCGCCCGCCTGGCACACTGGGAAGTGTAGTTCCAAGCTTGGCCGAGGCGCGGACGTCGTCCGGTCACCCGTGGGTGACAGCTGAGGCCAGGCTGCTGCTCCTTGCAGCCGCTCTGCAGAGCAAGGTCCGGAATCTGCAAAACCGGTACAGCAGGTGAGCCGTAGCTCTTAGGAGCTGCTGCGGGTCCACGGGTCGCTCCTCCTCGCACAGACCCTACCTACAGTGGGTCTTAACTTCCTTTGCAGATATTTCTGTCTCTTCTCCGCTCGCCCCAGCAAAAGGAATCTTCCTCAATTGAAGCTCCACCTTGGGGTCTCACATTGAACACGGGGCTTCTCTTTTACCGCCACCTCACAGCAATAGACTAGCAGACAGCCTCCAACAAACCCAACCCTTGCATGGTCTCTGGCACCCAAACAATTCTTCAGACTTGTGCAGCAAGCAATTTACTCACCGAGCAGTCCTCCAGACCCTTCTCAGGTCTCTGATCCTGCTTGCCCTTTGAATCATGACTCCTGGACTTGGCACCAGCACACTGGGCTCTGGCTTTGGTCAGTCTCGGATTTCTATGGCTTTGGGTAGTCTTCGGGTTCTAATGTCTAAAGCCAACCCATTCCTTATCTGAAATGCTTTTGAATCCATTTTGTTTCTCAAAACACTTGTATACACACACACACACACACACACACACACACACACACACACACACACGAGCACTCTGCTTCACTGCAGCTGGGTCAGCCACTTCTGTGGAGTTCTCTTCTAGAACTTTGCAGTGGTTCACAGGAGACTATCCTCAAAACCCCCCCCCCCCCCCCCCCGGCACAAGCTAGAGCTGGCCTACAGCCCTGAAGGGTGTGAGAGATCCAGCTTCGCAGAGGCTGACTCAAGCAGTCCCGCTCTTCTGCCCATCCGTCCACTTTCCTGATCCCAAGTCCTCGTCAGCTTCTCTTTCCCATGGCATGGACCTTTTGCGGCCTTGCCTCTACTTTACAGTGTTCTTCAGGGAAAACTTGTGCTTGTGCTTATGGAAGCCAGAAAATGTTTTCTAGGCACTGTGTACCTTGTTTTTTGAGACAGAGACACTCACTGGAACCTGGGACTCACCAGTTGGGCTAGGCTGGCCAGATATCTGCTATCTTCACCTCCCCAGCACTGATTTTACACACAGTCCCCATCATGCCTACCTTTTTATATGGGCACTGAGGATGGAACTAGGGTCCTCCTGCTTGCTGGTCAGCACTTAATTGGCAGTGTCTTCCCACCAACCAGGCTTGTTATACTTCCTGTCTCATCTCCCCAAAGAGAAGAGTGCCATTCATGCAACTCATCTTTTTAGCTAGGGAACAAACCTTAGATTGACTCTTTGTGTGTGTGTGTGTGTGTGTGTGTGTGTGTGTGTGTGAGGTCATGGAATACAGGGTCCATGTACACTACAGTAAGTACACAGGGAACTATTGAACATACTCCAAACCTACCTTGGGAGTGTTAGAATATACTCTTGGTCAAGGAGGCTTCTAAGAAACACCAGCTAAGTCCTGTGTTCTTTGAGGAGCTGTACAGAGGTTAGATGGAAGCCTAGGCATCATCCTTGTGTTTGGGCACTGGAACATTACCTTTATGCCTTTCTGGGGTGTCCTTGAAAATGGAGTCAGGGATGTTCAGTCTGGTCTCAGACCCCTATTGCTTTTGATATTGCATTCCCATGCTGTTGACTTTCAGATATCATGTTGGAAGTGAGGCCATGGTCACCCTCATGGGAAAGCATCACTTCCATATAACTCATTACCAGGCAACTCAGACAAACCTCCTGAAAGATGATTCAATGTTTGGTACTAACCAGCCCCACAGATAACAAAAACACACCCTCTCCAACTTTTGTCTCCAAGTCACTGAGGGTTCAGGACATAGACATCAAGTTTTCTCACTTCCAGGAGATCCTGTAGACTCAGGATTCTCAGTTCAGAGAATCAATAATGGAACCACCTTCATACTTGAAGATGTAGACACCCAAAGCCCCAGCTTTGTGCAAAATGCCATCACAATTTATCACCATACTCCTTTCCAACCCTAGCTCACCTGCCGCCATTGACGAATATTTTGTGCACCATTCATGGCATAGAAGGACTTCTTGCCATTTGCCCAATGAACTCCTACATATCCTTCTAGACATAATTCAACAAAGCACACCCTAGAAGGGTTTCTTCTATCTATTCAACAAGGTGGGGACGAGAAGATCAAAGGGGGAGGGAAAGAAGGGAAGAAAGGAGAAGGAAGGGGTGGGGTTATGGTTAGGGTTCCTTAAAGGAACAAATCTGGTATAGTGGATATATATTACAGGGGATTTATTCGATTGGCATACGAGTCATAGAGTCCATGAAGTTCAGCAACGGCTGTCTCACACTGGAGATCCAAGAATCCAGTGATTGTTTAGTCCACGAGGCTGGATGTCTCAGCAGTCCCAGTCTGGTGCTGGAGGTCTATAGGATTCCTGGAAAACTGCTGAACTTCAGTGTATGTTGGAAGTCCAGAGGAGTTGGTTCTGATATTGATGAAGGAACAGGATAGTTTAATTCCCAACAAGAATAAGGGCAAGCAAGAGAAAACCAGTAGCTTCCTTTCATACCCCCCCTTTTTTTGTTTGTTTTTTGTTTGTTTGTTTGTTTTTCGAGACAGGGTTTCTCTGCTTTGGTGCCTTTCCTGGAATTCAATCTGTAGACCAGGCTGGCTTTGAATTAAAAAGATCCATCTGCCTCTGCCTCTGTCTCTGAGTGCTGGGATTAAAGGTGTGCACTACAACCACCCAGCTTTTAATGTCCTTTTATCTGGCTGCTGCCAGAAGGTTCAGCCCACATTTAGGGTGGGTCTTCCTGCTTCAAATAATCTGGCTAAGGAAACCCCTCACTTGAGTACCCAGCAGCTTTTATTTTAGTTGATTATTCAATTAAGTTGACAACCAACCAACATGGTCGTGCTAGCTAACCAAGATTAGCTAGCACAGGATGGGGAGAGGAGTGCAGGGAAGAAGAGAGAGGAAGAGAAGAGCCAAACTCTTTGGGGAGGCGTTCACCTTCTGTGGGTAGAGGGACAGGATATATGACATTCTCCCATAGAAATCAGGACAGTCCTATGCTGAAGAGCTGGTGCTCAGTAATGGGGAAGGAGTGAAAAGATGCCATCACCATGCTTGGTCCCAGGTCCTGCTGGGAATACATGCAGTGTCTCATTAAAGCTGGTCATTTTCAAACCTCGGTGTGCAGATGTGAGTGCATAATATAATAAACAGAGCACTTTTAGAAAGGGCATACGTCCAGGCCTTCAGGAAGACTGTTTCTAAACAGAAGTTCTTTCAAGTCAGTGATGCTTGAGCTTAGCATGTTCTCAAATGGCAGTGTGGATCACAGTTTCTTACATCCCTGCTGTGGGGTCCAAAAAGTGGTGTTTCTAACAAATCCCCTGTGATGTTGATGCTGCTGGGTCTGAACCATTTGGTGGTACTCACTGCTCTGGATCTTTGCAGTTCCAAAGATGGCCCATGGGGCAAGGATCCTCTGTATCAATTGAGGAATTGTCTTGAGCCCAACAGCAGACATGCTTCTGACCTTGCAGTTGAGTACAATCCTAGTTGCCTTTCTCGCTGATATAGCAATGGCAATGTAAGGGCTTATTTTTGTTCACAGTTTGAGGAGAGTTATTTTTGGATAGAAGGTATGGAGGCAGGAGAGGGCAACTGGCTATACTGCATCTACCGTCAAGTAGAGAGAACAAGGCTTTCTCCTTGTTGTTCAGTCCAAGACCCCAGACAACGGGGTGCACTGTCACATTCAGAGTAAATCTGGCCTCCTCTTTGAAAACTTTCTAGAAACAATCTCACAGATATTCCTAGTGGTGTGCTTCCATAGTGATTCTAAATCTAGTTAAGTTGACAATGATTGGGGGATGCTCATGGGTAAAGTGTTTTGCCATGAAAGCAGGAAGACCTGGGTGTGATTCACAGCTCAGTGTAAACCAGGCATGGTCCTGCATGCCGACAGTCCCAGCACAAGGCAAATGGAGGCAGAAATATCAGGAGCTCAAGGTCACCTCACCCTTGGTGAGTTCAAGATTGCATGAGACCCTGCCTCCAAAAGAAAAAAACAAAAAACAAAAAACCAACCAATCAAACAAAAAAACTTTAACATAGAACAGGGTCCAAGGACCTATTGTTCCTTGAGACGTGGCCCATAGAGGGTCATCATTTGAGAATATGCCAGATACGTCTGCTCTAGGACCTAGCTCCGACCTTCCAAATCATTCTAAGCACACAGGATCTGAAAATGCAATGCCCAGCACCACAAACACACAGGGACACACACAGAGAAACTAACTGAATCAACTATCCTTTTGAATTTTTTTTTAGGCAGCAAGTATTGACAAGGCCAGAGAGACTGTCTCCCTCACATATCACTGGTGAGAATATGAACTGGTGGGGTTTCCTCTGAATACTAAACACAAAGTTACCAAGAGTAGTGAAGATAGCCAACCATGCAAAAACTTGCCCACTGAGTGTTCACCCTGGCATTTTATCATAATGAAACCATATAAACGAAAGTAAAATTCACTGCCCAATAAAAAAAAATAAGCTATGTGGTCTGCTATAATAGAGAATATTATTCTGCAATAACATAAAATAAATGTTCCAGTGTGCCAGTGAGAAGTCCAGTCACAGGAAAATTACATGCTGCATGATCCCAGTATGTGAAGTGTCCAAATGGGTTGACAAGCAGATTAAAGGTTGTCAAGGTTCTGGAAGGAGGGCTAGACATGCTTAAAAGGGATTGGGTGTGGGACTCATCTGGAGTTAATGAAATTGTTCTAAAATTAGATTATGATTATTGTTACAGAACTCTGTGCTTTAAAAAAATCACTGAATGGGACATGAGCTTGGGATGTATAATTATATCTCAATAAAACTGATACAAGGAAAGGATGTTCTTCTAGGCACACTTGGACTTGAATCTTTGAGTGTCATGAGAATCATTCTTTTCCCTAGATTATTCCCAGGGCCAGCCCTATCTGTAGC